GCGATTAGAATCCTCCTTGGCGGTTAGAATCCACTAGCCACACCAAGGGAGAAGATGTGCATTCTCCTCCCATGTAACTTACAGCCTCAGAAACCCACTGCAGGGTCTGCTATGAGTTGAGTCCAACTCGAAGGCCATGAGGTATTTTCATCCATGCCAAATAAGTCATGGAAGTTCAGAAAAATCAAGCCAAAATTATGCAGCCAGTAGATGAGTGTAAGACTCTGGTAGCCCCGGCATGCTAGAGGTGCTCCTGGCCCAACAGGACCCTTCTGAGGAGGGCTTCCGCCTCATGCAGCACCCAACGGGGAAAGCCGTAAATGTATGTGCTGTGGCCACCACATAACCTTTTTCAGTGACATTGTAATTTTAAGTCACAATTAAATCCCCTTTCCACAGGCATTCGCTATCAGAAAGTTGTCTAAACAAGGATGAAGTGATAACTGCAATTTGGGCTATGTTCAACGTAATTTAGGGGTACTGGTACCTTCTAAACAGATTATAGCTAGGAAGGAGTGTGGACTAGAAGAGGGGCACCAGCCAGCTCTCTCACTAGCTGTGTGGTACTGCATCACTTGCTTCTTCTCTTTAGGCCTCAGTTTTAGCATCTATAAAATAAGAATGTTGAATTAGCTAGTATCAAGCCAGCTCAAACGGGGGGTGGGAGAAAGTCTTTCAAAGGAAGGAGGCAATATCTGGTAGGAAAGGAAGAGGCATGTCCTTCACCAATGACCTCCTGGTTCCCCTCTCACGAGCCCTGCCATCTTTAGTGCTCCCACACACAACCTGATCTCCACATCAGCCTGACTTTGAAGTCAGCTAAAGACCTTTCATGACTTTGAAAATCTGAAGTCAGACTCCTCTAATTCGGCTCCTGTTACAGAGAAGAAATCTTTTCAGCTCTTCTGTGACTAATCTTGTGCATCAAGACAGAAACTATGCAAAGAGCAACCTTTAAAAGCCACACTTTATTTTTAGTATTCTGTATTTTCTTTCTTGCCATCGTCCTGCGAGTGATATCACAGCTTCTCTCCTTGACAGGGGACAATGTATATAAAAACCATAAAATATGTACTGCCACAAAGTCCAATGAGAAATTGCCTTTCTCCTGTGAAGCCCTCCCACTAGAGATACTGATGACGTTACCACAGTAGACATGGGTGGCTATTAAACTCCTGTACCATTCCGTATGATGCATTTTCAAAGCCAGTAAGTAGTTGACTATTTATAGATTGTAGAAACTCTGTCTAGTTCATTAGCTATGCTATATAATGTACAACGAAAGACTTATTTATTCAGTACAATTTCAACTCAAGCTACATTGGAAATTTGAGGTTGTTTTTAGTATGTTGATGGTAAAGCACTGGTGGCCTAGTGACAAGAAACTGTACTGCAATACTGAAAACAAGTGGTTCAAATTCACCAGCTTCTCCATGGGAGAGGGATGAGCACTCTCCTCCTATGAGATTAAGTGCCTCTGAAAATCCCCTGAAGGGCCAGGAATGGTTCAGTTCTGACTCGATGGTACACTACAACAATAACAACAATGGTATTTCAAAGTCACTTCAATTTTGGATTTTCTGTTAAAAACTAAACCAGCCTCCCCAAGGGTCCAAAATACCCACCCAGGTTACTAAATAAGAAGACAGTTAGGTCACTCAAGAGAACAGGGTTAATAACCTTAGTTATGAAATTAGACTTAAGAAAACTTAAGTAAGTGTTTGGGGTCAAAAGTCTTTTCAAAAATCCTAGGAACCTACTGTAAGAAAATAAAAGTAAAAAAAAAATGTGAGTCACAGAGCAGGGTGTGAGGTAAAGAGATAAGCCAGTCAAAAAAAGAAAAAAGATAAGCCAGTCATGTTTTCTTATCCACATTACATAACTTACATAGGTTGACAAAGGGTTTCTTCACACAGTTGTCTGGAGATATAGACTAGTGGTTGCTTGGCCAGCTCATACATAGTGCAGCATGTAAAACACATTACCCTTCAGTTTTCTCAGTGGGGAAAGAAAGACTGAAGGACACAGACTTTTCACTGTGTTAGCATACAAAAGAAACATGCCACTTGTTACCACTTTTCATTGGACAGAAATAATCACATGGCCCCATCTAACGGCAGAGAATGCTAGGGAGTCAAGTCAGCCATGTGTTATGGCCAAATATTGACAGGATGGGATGGGATAGGATATATTAGCAATGATAGCCATATATTAGTGATCAAGCATAACATCCACTGAAAGGGTCCACAATGAGGGGCTGCAAGAAGAGTACACGTGGTGAAGATAGTTTGCAAACCTGCAGAGGTTTCCTGAAGGTTCCATTACAGTATCCACACTCATCTCATGGTAAGAAAGAATTGTCCAACTCCAGAAGTGCCAACGCATTTAGACAAGTTCTTAGCAATGTTGGGATCCCTGAAAAGTATTAGCTTTTAAAGAGATGTCTTGTTTTATTGTTCCATAGTTTTATCTTCTAACTACTCTTCCACAAATCAGTTCCTCAATAAAGCATGTAGACTCACAATTTTGAAATCATTATCATCTTTCTTATTCAGAAATTGTAAGGAATTGCTAACTCAAAGCTTCCATAGCACCCTGATTTGGGAAAGCCAATTCTGTTCACTCGGATTCCTGGATTCACAATCCTTGTTGGAATTAAGGATTAGGAATCAGAGTGGAATAGGATAGATGACTCTGTATTTTTTTAAATTAATTTTCCAAACCATTCTACTGCATCCGTTGATCTTAACAGGAAGATTTAAATGTTCAATCATCTCCACATATTTTCTTATAATGTCCTGAGTAAGACATAAGATAACATCATTTTATCAAATTGTATTATTTTCAGAATTTCCAAGATGAATGGTAGCTAGCATTTCTTTATCATGAAATAGTACTAGTGCAAATTAATTTAGTTTAGTTTCTTATCTATAAAATAGAGCTAAACCTGCCTCACAGAAGTGTGAGGAGAATTAAATAAAATTGTAGATAGCAAGATTTTTAAAAAATGGTATTTCTGTATCTGTTTAAATTGGACAGTATTCTCAGCTTTTCTCAGATTTGAACTGCCAGAGAGGCATGACAAGTGTAATGAACCAGTTGAGAATTGCCAGAAGTTTAGGCTTTAATTTAGAATCTCAAAAATATATGCTGTTGCCAATGAAAGAACTTTGAGAATAGGATTATAAAATCTATCAATTAAAAACTGAAAGTAATTTTGAAAGCGTAAAAACCTCAGATTCAGAATAAGACCATAACGAATTTGCAGACAAACAAAAAGCAGTTGTTGTTGTTGTTTGCCATTGAGTTGGAACCAAACCATATCTGACCCTCTGGTGGGTTTTCAGAGGCAGTTAATTGCACAGGAGGAGATTGCCCATCCTTCTCCCGCATAGCAGTTGGTAGATTCAAACCATGTGCCTTCGGCATTGCAGCTCAGCTTCTTGCTACTAGATCACTAGTGCTCCCTAAAAAGCAATTTGGTATTGATTGATTGATTGTTTTTTTGATTGATTGATTGATTGATTGATTGAAAACTCTGGACCTCTGATGACCTGGGAGTAAGAAGCTGTACCGCAATCCCAAAGGCACACAGTTTGAATCCATCAGCTGCTTCATAGGAGAAAGATGAGCAGTTACCTCTTGTGTGATTAACTGCCTCTTGAAAACCCACTAGAGGGTCAGCTGTGGATCAGTTCTGACTCCACGGTACATAATAACAACTACAACAAAGATTTCCCAGTTCTTTAAATCTAATTCAGGTGGTAATTTGTGCAAAAGAAATAAAGAATTTTTATGTAGAAATCAGGAAAAGAAGTAAAACTAATAGTAAACTAATAAAAGTAAAAAAAAATTAAGAAAGGCAGACCAGCAATGTTCAAATTCTTTTTAAAAAATTCTCTTTAGGGAGCATTGGTGGCCTAGTGGCAAGAAGCTGCACTGCAATCCCAGAGGTACACATTTGAATCCACTAGATGCTCTGCTGGAGAAGGAGGGGCATTCTCCTCCTGTACCAGTCAGATATGATTGGACGGTACACACACAGAATATTATAAAAAATTTTTTAAAACCCTCTTAATACATTTAATAGATATATGATTAATAAGGGATCACCTATTCTTTTATTCAGGAAAGGAAAATAAAAATCTAATAAAATGTCTAACACCACCAGTAATCTCTCTTGTCCTATACACTCTTCTAAATCCAGTTAAAATTTCTGGCAGCTAGAGGTGTAGTGTTGTTGGGTGCCATTAGGCAAGTACAACTCATAGTGACACTATGAACAACAGCTCTGAACCTGTTCTATCTTGTGCCATCCTCATCAACTCTGATATACTTAAGCCCATTAATGCAACCACTTTGCCAGAATATCTCTTTGAGAGTCTTCCTCTCCTTCACCGACCTTTCCAAGCATGAGGCCTCTTTGCATGGAATAGCCCCTCCTAACAATGAGATGGAGCTTCACCGTCCTTGACCCCAAGGAGCACTCTAGCTGCACCCTCTCCGAGGCATACCTTATTCATTCTTCTTTTCAGTTCCTGGGATATTCAGTACTCTCCAACACCCAATACAAAGGCATCGATTCTTTTTCTGAAACTCCTAGTCATTGTACAGCTCTTAGATTCATAGATGAATATATGGAGTTCAAGTGTAGTTCTTACTATTCCCATTGTGCCTTTAACTATCAATTTTAACAAAAGTACAATTTTGTTATTGAGGATATTTGTTTGTTTTTAAATACTTGCTTTAGTGAACCAAACTCTTTTAAGTGGGCATAGCCTCCCTTATACCTCATCTACCTGCCTTTTGGCCCCAGCAATGCCTGATGATAGAATATATTGTAATTTCTACTCTTCTGTGAGCACTGTCCCTTTCGTTGTTTGCAGTTGTTTATGGGAATGATAATTCTAATCACAGACTCCATGCTTAGCTCAGCTTCTTTATTGGCATTGAAGCTCTCACGTGGTTTACTTACTTCAGTTTTCTCCTGTGCGTTACAGTACCAGTGGCAGATATCAAAGCTGTGGTGACCGGAAAGGACTGCCCTCACATGAAAGAGAAAGGTGCCCTTAAACAAAACAAGGTATGATTTTCATATTATTTAAAATACCTCTTTCTATAAAGTGCAATCAGAAACTTTGGTGGATCCGAACCTTTAAAATGTTAAGCTGAATGAAATATCTCAGTCACAAAAGGACAAATACTACATACAGTTATAAAACAGTATTGTCATAGGCTTGGGAGTAGACTAAGAAAAGAGGGGATAAATAATGAACACTGCATTTAAACAGATGAGGGAAAGAACTGTTTAAAAGTAATACATGTTTATATTTTATATTATATTTTATTTTTATATTTGCATGACAACAATCCAGAATGAAAGGTGAATAGTAAAGTGGACTGGAGGGTGAAGAGGAGGGGGAAAATTGTGAAACAATGAAAGAATCTTTTAAAAGAGAAAAGCAAACTGGGGTGGGGGATAAGTAGGAAAACATGCAACAGAATGAATGGAAATCCAAATTTCCTGTAAACTTTTGTCAAAATATAAATTAAAAAAAATAAGAAAGAACAGGGAACAGTGTGGTATAAGAAAAAAAAGTGTGCTTGCAAGTGTGTGTGTGTGTGTGTGTGTGTGTGTGTGTGAGAGAGAGAGAGAGAGAGAGATTCACACAGTCACAGTCCTCTTACTTAACTCTCCTTTTAAATTTCTTCTGATTCTTTTTACATCTCTCAGTTTTATTCTCTCTCTCACTGACTGCATTTCTATTCCTTGCATTTTTTTTACTTTCTCTGTCCTTATATCCACACATATTCAAGGAAGTTCTATTAATACATCATATTTTTTGTACAGATAATTGTTTTTATTTAACCATTATATTTTTGAAAGATTTATCAGAACCTGTAAATGCTCAGTGAATTTAGATTTTTCTCTCTAATTATATATAATTAGAAGGTTACACATGTTAATGTATTTATGGTTGGATGAAATAACTTCAAGTTTAAAAAGTAAGTTTTGGAGCTCTGGTGGCCTAGTGGCAGAAAGCTGCACTGCAATCCCAGAGGTGTGTGGTTCAAATCCACCAGATGCTCTGCTGAAGAAGGAGGGTCAATCTCCTCCAGTACCAGTCAGATCTGATTTGATGGCTCACACATAAAAATAATAAAATTGTTTAAAAAGTAAGTTTTTTGTTTGCTGTGTGTTTTATCTTGAGCATATATGACAGACTTCCTGAATCATAAGTCAGTATTCCTATTAAAATATTCTAAAATAAAACTTTATTTATTTAAACTTAAAAATACAACCAGTACAACTTGTGACAAAATAAAATAAGGCAATAGTAAATATGATGATAGTGACCGTAGGAACATGGACAGGTGCAGTAGAGAACAGTGAAAGGTCAAAACCCGATGAGATTGGCTCAGGAGAAAGCAGGGTTCAAAGTTGTTGTTCATTGGGTTGCCATGAGTTATAGTCAACTTGACAGCAAATAACAACAACAACAAATATGATTTGTTAATGAGGAAGGAGCTCCAACTCAGGCGCCAAGTCTTTTATCTCACTAACCAATTTCATGACTATGATGGATATTTCATTTTACAATTGTTGTTTTGTTTTTTTAAAATGTTTATTAGTTTGCATATAATCATTCATATACATTATATTTTATGTAATTAAAGCAGTACTTCATTCAAGAAATAATGTTTCCAGTTAAGAAAATCTTCCATAACATTTTTAAACATAGTTATACAGAGCATAACAGTATACATAATAAAAATAAAAACCATTTATTCAATTTTTATTACTTAAGTTCCTGTTAATATAATTTCTATTCACGTGTACACACCAACCACAAAACCCAAAGATTAAGAAATGAGGACTTCTGCCAATTTTTGCAGTATGCAGTACTATCAATTTATTATTGTTATGTGTCATTTAGTACCTTGCAACTCATAGAGACCCTATGTACAGCAGCTCTGAACTCTGTTCTATCTTGAGCCAATCTCATTGTCTCTGATACACCTAATCCCATTGGCCCAGTTATTGTGTAAATCCATCTCATCCAGCATCTTCCTCTCTTATTGCTATCCTCCTACCCTTCCAAGCATGATGTTCTTCTCTAAGAAGTGGTCCCTCCTTTCAGCATACTCAAAGTATGTCAGATGAAGCTTCAAAATCCTTGCCTCCACAAAGCAGCCTACTTTCACCCTGTCCAAGACAAACTTGTTTATTCTCTTAGTAGTCCACGGTATATTCAGTACTTTTCTCCACCATCACAACTCCAAGGAATCTATTTTTTCTTTCTTATCCTTTGTCGTTGTCTAGCTCTATGATGCATTGCAAGTAATTGTGAATACCATGGCCTGGATATGGCACACCTTAGTCTCTAAACTGACATCATTGCTCTTCAGTACTCTGGAGAGGTCCCTGGCAGCATATTTTCCCAATGCAATTCAGTTTTTTATTTCCTGATTGCTGGTACCAAGAGTACTGATTGTAGAGCCAAGCACGCTGAAGCTGTTACCAATTTCATCACCAACTATCACTATTCTACCAATTGACTCAGTGGTGAGAATCTTGGTTTTCTTGATGTTGATGTTATCTTTAAACCATATTGAAGGCTACAGTCCTTGAACTTCTGCAGCAAATGTCCCAGGTCCTCCTTAGTTTTGGCAAGCAAGGTGTGTCATCTGCATAATGCCGATTGTCAATGAGCCTTTCTCCAATCCTGATTTTAAATTTCTCCTCATAGAGCCTGTCCTCCTGGATTATCGTTCTTCTATATGTTACAGTCAAGATGCTTTAATAATGATTAGTGACTGAAATGCAAAAGTTGGAAACAAAAGGATGATAGTTGGATAATATGGCCTTGGTGACAGAAATGAGTTTGAGTATCAAGTAATGGAATTATTTTTTAAAGACATAAATGGCAACTGTATATGTGGATTTCACTGAATGAACTACACAGGAATCAGATTGACTACATCTATGGAAAGAGACATTGGAGAAGCTCTGTATCAGTAGTAAAAACCAGGGACAAGGGCTGACTATGGAATAGCTCACCAACCACTCTTATAATTGAAGCAGAAGGAAATGAAAACAAATCTACAAAAATCAAAACATAATCATAAATGTAGCTTAACTGCTACCTGGCCAGCTGACTGGGAGAGATCTGTATTTGTTCTTATTTCAAAAACAAAAAAAAGTGATACAATAGCATGTGGCTTTTAAACAAATCATTAATAACATATGCAAGTAAAATCTTACTGAAGATTATTTTTAAAACCACTGGACTTGTACATTGACAGAAAACTATCAGAAATTCAAGCTGTGTTCAGAAGAGGCATAATACTCCTGATTCCAGAGAGATTTCATTGCTGATATCAGGTGTATCTTGGCTGAAACCAGAGAATACCATAAATGTGTTTATTTGGGGGTTTTTATTATTTGAAAGTATTTGAAAAAAGATTTTTAAAGTATTTTCATGGATTATAATGAATTTTTACTCACATTGAGAGGAATGGGAATCTCAACTGTGTTCATGTTAAACCTATACATAGACCAAGAAGCAGTTGTCTGATCAGAATAAGGGAACACTATACAACTTAAACTTATCTTCCATATTTTTTGGCAGTTGTCTTTATTTTATCCTGTCATGATCACCCTTGGTAACTTCCACAGTATCTCAGTGAAGATTGAGAAGAACAGAAACCAAGTGATAGAAAGAATCTTAGACTATTTTGTCATCATGGATATCAAACCAGGAGACTGTCAAATATTTCAAGTCCAATTTAAAGAAGAAAATTCCCTTAAGTGTGCATATTACTTAAACACACTTTACATTTTGACATTTTTCTCTCTTCCCTTCAAATGCACCAAGCAACTATCAATATGACAACCCATGTTGTATTTCTGAGGGTGTCGGAGAGAAGGTATTTTGCCCCCAGCTTACAGGCATTTTTCCTCTGTGGGCTGCGTCTATCAGAGATCCAATTTTTTATTTATACATCTTATTATTTTACAACATTTGACATCTATTAAGGCAAAGATGTCCACTTGAATTTGGGTATCCTAGGCATCTTGATACTAAAAATATTGCATAGATCAATAAAGTTCTTCATTGTTTAGTGTCAGTTTCTGAATGAAGCACTAAAATTTGACATGCCCTTCTTTTTAATCAGAGTTAAAGTCACTAATCCTTGTTCTACAATTTAAAAAATTCTATGAAGGACAGATGGGAACCAGGTTTTAATAGGATGACCCTACACATAGCTAAAGATGTGCTGTTAAAGTATTACGTAGAGAGATAGAGGAGAAAGGATATGGTCAACAAGACTTATGGAAGATCTCTGCTTTTTTTTAAAT